CACCTCACCTTTTTAAATGGAAATGCCAATGACGGAACTCTGGGGCCTTTGGCTTGCAAAGCACTGGCACACCACTGAGCTTTGGTCCCTCCCATGCCACTGATGCGGTGCAGGAAAAGGGAAACTTACAAAGTTAGAAAAAAGACCAAAAAGGTGGGAAACCTAGGATGTCCTTCATTGTTTTGTTGTCCCCCTGTCCTGGGACACATGGAAGTTTTTGTCTTGTGAAGTGGCTGTACTTGAATGGATAATTGTTCTAGATATTTTGAGTTTATGTTTTAATTCTAATGTAAGTCACCTTGAATTTCTTAGCCATTTTGTTTTGAAAGGCATCTGAGAAATAATCTTCATCATATTGTGAGTGGTGGCAATAGCAGCTTCATCTATTTGGTAGGTTGAAAGGCAGTGTGACCCAAGTGAAAACTCTTTCAGAAGCAGGGATATTCCTCCCATCTTTTCTTTGTGCTCCATTCTCTGTGTCCATATAAGAGAAGATATAGAGCGAAAAAAGCAGCAAAGCCAAGATGCAGTCCTGGACATGTTCATACCTTCTAGGCTCTGGCCCACTAATTTTTGCACCAACATATAAAGAAGGTTATCAAGAGTTCCTCTGGGGTCAGGATCCATAAAATGCTTTCTTGCAAACAGGGCTACTGGAGACATGTTGTATTGGAAAAATCCTCGGGAATTTAAGAATCAGATTCTACAGCAGAGTTCTTTGGAGAAGGGTCGTCGCTTAGTGGCACATGCTTTGCAGGTTTAATTCCCAGCATCTCCAGGGAGTGTGGGGAAAGGCTCCTGACTGAAATCCTGGACAGCTGCGGTTAGTGGGTGTGATAGACGATCTTGAACTAAAGAGGCCAATGGTCTGATTCAATGGAGGGTAGCTTCCTAAGGTTCTAAGGCGGTCTTTCCCAACCCAGCACCCTAAACATGCTTTGGATTACAACTTGCAGAACTCCTAACCCTTGGTAAGCTACTGGGGCTGATAGGAACTGAAGTCCACAACATTTGGTGGGCACCAAGAGTTGGGGAAGGCTGTACTAAGCAAATTGAGAAGGGGAGATATTGGAACAGGCTTGCCAACCAACCGGAACATTAAAGCAAAATTCAGTTTCAAAAGCCTCTATAGAACAACCAAAAACTAGACTGGCTAGATTTTTTTTTTTTTTTTTTTGTGTTCAAGTCAAAGAAGTAAGAAGCATGGTTTTTTTCCACCCCTCAGGTTTAGTTTGGGTTTTTAAAGCTATACAGCCTGGGTGAATAAGCAGCATTTTTGCTACCCTCAGACCTGCCCTAAAACTCCACAGGGTTATATCCGGACTACATACCTGAACCCACTCTGAGGTCTGCCCCAAAGCTTCATCCAGGTACCAGTGCTTAAAAACAAAACAAACAGCTGGCAGTGCTATATTGAATCCTGAAGCAGCTGGAAAGCTGGAAAAACGGTTGTTTTTAACGTCACTGTCCTGTCCATTGAGGGAAAAGAACAGCTTTTGCTCCATCCATCGCTAAATGTTATGTTTCCTTTACAGGCATCAGGGAAATTTACATTAACTGCTCTTTTTGCAGATTATACTGTTTCTTATTAAAAGATGATAAAATGTGTAAATGCATTTACTCAGAAAGCCTGCCCACAGTGGCAAAAAGAAGAAAGGGAAAAGGCTAAAGGAAAAATACTAGAAGTATCTTTGGCTCGTGTGTTCATTTCAAGTGATAACAAAAACTGGAAAAGAACAGAGACTCCAGATGTAGTCCACACAGTCACGTGAGGGCTTCTCTCTCTGAACTTCTGAAATGTAAACATGTTCCACTGATAAAAAGAAAACTGTAATTCTGCATTCAGACAGCTCTAGCTGCTTGCCTACCTGACTTTGATGCTCAAGAAGAACATACAGCATGCCCTGGAGTCTCAGGAGTAAAGTAAAGAGAAGCACACTTGGAAAATGTGCAGCCAAGTCCCTCCTTCCTTTAGGTCAGGACTGAAATCTGTATGATACCAGAATTACGGTGGGATTGGATCTGCTGCTTGAAGATTTAAGTCTAGCCTAGTCCAAAGGAAAGACCCTGAGGAAGGCCCAAGACTCACGTGTTGTCAATGGCAGACCTTCTGTGTATACATTTTAATTCTTCACCTCCAAGTAATTCTTATTTTACCTGACACATATAAGTGGGCAGCTGCACAATAGAAGAGGAAGAAACCAATCACAAAGTTTGCAGATCATCTTCTCAAAGCAGGAATTTCTGGTTTGGGAACATGCACTGCTTGTAAATGTTGACCTTTAATCTTCTGTAATACCCCTGATCATACTGACTGGGAATCAGAGCTGTCAAAGACCGTATCAGCTGATGTAGGCAATGCAGGCGCTGGCTCAACGTGAACCACCAGGGGTAGCACTGACTGAAAGGATTAAAGGAAGTGGCAATCCAGAGGACCTGTCATTTCTTGATTAAAGAAAGGGGAAGCCTTTTATATTATGAAGCTCCCATGCCACTTAGGCCCATCATTCACAGACTCTCTTCTGCCTGTACCAGGCAGACCCAACCAGCCTGAAACAGCACACGAGCTCTGCAGACTTTCCTGACAGATGCTAGAGACCCCTTTCTCCACAGTTTTGCAAAAATATAAGGTAGGCCACCACACATGGCTGACAAACTACGTTCTGTTTAGTCAACTTACATTCACAGGAACATGCAAATAGCCAGAAAACTAAACTGCAAGCAAACACCCATCCCACCAATCCAACACATTAGTTTAATCCACTTTCTCATCACCTGCAAAACAGCCAGTGTTCCCTCTTCTATGATAAATGAGTATCTGTCACTTTCTCAACTGTAGGGAAATTTAGCATATTCTGGCAGTGGGCATCTTGTTGCACTCCAGGACTTGTGGCCTACCACTTCTATGTTCCCTAACCAGCATAGCCAGTGGGGAGGGATGATGGAAGTTATGGGCCAAGGGCTACAAGTTGCCCACCCCTGGTTCCACTCTATAGTCCTCATGCAAAATCACTCTGAATGCGTTGTGTGTAAACAGCACAATGCATCACCACTCTATGGGAGTGAAAGCAGGTACTGGGGGGACAAAGCATAGGGATTGGCAATTTGGATACCTCCATATGTTCTGGACTGCAACATCCATAATCCCTCACCAATGGCCATTCTGGCTGAGAAATATGGGAACAGTAGTCCACTGTATCCAGTGGGAACCAGGTTGCCTACCCCTGGACCAGATCTCAGGTGGACTTGTCAGAATTCATGTCCATTGGCTAAAGAATGCCAGCTGCAAACCCATCTTTGCATTGCTGTTTGCTTGCTTGCTTGTTCGTTTGGCTTCAGCCAAACATTGATCGTGATCTTTCCACTCCCTTTCTACAAGAGAAAAGCTTCCACATGGGTATTTAAAATAAGTTGTACTTTCATGGAGAAAAAATATTATAAATGACTATATAGAATGTCATCAGGACAGAAGTCACAGCTTACAATTAATAGTTAAATATGTCCCTAAAGAACACGTGTTAGAATATTGCCACTTGCAGGCTTAGGGCTCATATATTCACACAAACTGGGGCACATCCCTGTGACTGCTTAGACAGAAAAAAGTCCTACAACTCCATGTATTCTGGGGCGTTTTAGGAGTTGCAGGCTGGCTTTGGCATGTCGGGATTTGTAAGACATTTTTGGTCTAAGCATGTATGAGTTTGTGGCCCTGGAAAAAATTGCACATTTTAAAATTCAAGGACAGAAATGCTGGGTTAAACTGAATGTCCAATTAAATGCCATGCCCCCAGATGGAACCAACATCAGGTACTGCACAGCGAGCAATTAAGAGCCCTGACCTGTCTAGGTTTACTCACTTAGAGCATGCAGAGGCCAGAGGTTATGGGGCAGTTTAGCTAACCCTTCCCTATGAAGTAGATGTATTTTACAAAGGTATCCAAGAAAAAATCATAGTGACAGTCAACCTTCCATGCAGTTATTATTTTTCCCCTGCAAGATAACCTTTGTAGTTGCTTCATAGGACAGAAAGACAGAGAGGTCAGTCGCATCAAAGAGTCCAAAATGCATGGGTCAGTTGCAGGCCAATAAACATTCAACAGACCAGATTTGCAAAGGCATTCTGAATTGGTGCCAACCCACAATCAGAATGAGCATTGCCTTCCATTCACAAAACTGAGGGCTAAGATATGTCAAATCACCTGAAGATTAACAAAAATACAATAGTTTTGCTGCCTGCACTTACAGAAGTATTGAGCCAACTACTGGCTGAGGTTCCCCAGGGTGTCATGCAGAGCTTTTTCCCTTCACCTGCTACCTTACTGTGTCACTCATGGGTGCAGAACCCCCTTCAGCCCAGGGGGCCAAATTCTACCAGCATGTTCTAGCTTAACGTTCCTACTGCCAGTAATGCAGCCTTAGCAGAGGCAGAGGCATTCCAGCATTTCAGGATGTGGGGAAAGCAGCACAAAAGCCATCAAGTGGTCACTGGTTGTGAGGGAGAGCAGGTGGTACAGCCTGCAGAAAGGGAGTGTGGCCTCTCAGGGAATCCTGAGGGGTCGGAATGGTCTCTGGACCTGAGGTTCTGCATCCCAGACTTGACTGAAGACAGCAGGGACCGGACCTCACACCTTCTGCATGCGAAGCACATGTGCTGTCACAGCAGTCTCACTACTCTTTTGCTTTGATATCCCTTGTAGAAATAAGTTGCTGGTGGACCAATACTGTACAAAGGTGCCTCTTCCAATAAGCTTACTTTGCCTTTTATACAATTATACTGCTTTAGTATTTAAATCCATCGATGGCGAAAGCTTGCCCTATTCAGTTCACAGATGGTCTCAAGATTATCTGATTTTAAGAAAATATACTTAAATTCTGATAATGACCAGGTAATAAGAGTGGAAGGTGCGCTCATAGTGAGTGCAGTTCACAAGTGCTGCTGACACATGGAATGCATGGTAATATTTGCGACAGATCATCTGTCACTGTATCTCAGTACTAACCTCCATCCGCAACCAGGCCAAGTACACGCAAAGGGTTTTTCTCCTGTGTGCCTTCTCAGATGAGCTTTCAAATGGCTGCTTTTGGTGTACATCTTGGTACATCCAGGGAAAGTACATTTGTGCATTTTAATAAGTTCTGCTGCAGGATTCTTTTGAAACTTTTGACCCATGATGACCCCAGCTTGGCCCTGGATTGTACCTCCTGGCCCAATAGGTTTTGCAGCTATTGGAACTGGGGCTATGCGGACAAATTTGGAAGATGAGTTCAAGCTGGAAGACTGAACAAGCTGTGGCACCAGTGCAAATGTTTGCCCTTGGATGTTGACCAGGAGCTGTGCAATTTTAATGTTCTCTTGCACTGGTCCTTGTGAACTAGGGCTCATCTCCAATGCTTGTTTAACTTGTACTGGTTGGATTTGGAGCATGACTGGTATCCCTCCATCAAGGGACACTGCTCCATTTGATGCATGGCTACTTTCCACCGTACTGCCCAACTGTTCGCTTTTACTGTCTTTTAGACTGATGCTGGGCCCCATGTGGTCTTTTTGTGGCATGGAAGCCACAGTAATTTGGCTACAAGCTCTCATGTCTTTGGTCTCACTTTTAGGCCCTTCCTTGAGATCAGTTTCCATGTTCTCTTCTAGAAACTCCTCTATCTCCTCAAGAGTGGGCTGGAATGGTCCAGAATCTTCCATCTCCACCGTGAAGTCTGGCATCCTAAAATGCTCCTCCTTCACAATGGGCTGAAATCTCCTTTTGTCCCACCAAGAGGCGTGGCCATTACCTAAGGTCGCTTGGGACAACAAGTAGTCCAAGATACTGTCCTGGCTCTCTGCACTCGATGAGCTCCCGTAGCTTGAGCCAAGAACCTGGGAATCAGGGCTGGAACAAGAGCAAAAACTTGAAGAATCACTGTCATCTTCAGACAAGGGGGAGGGCAGCATTTGGTAGGACCTCCCCACTGCTGTCATGTCCCCAAAGTATCCAATCAAAGGCCTCGTGGACGAGAAAGATTCATCCGCAGGAAGCAGGTGATCCACCATTCCTGGATGATCTCTTTATGCGTATCCCACCAGCATGTACCAACAGAGCGAAAGCCTGAATATGGGAAACACAAACATTGACAGTCAGAAGTCAGGTTTAATTATTCATCTTGATGTGCTAAAACTACAAAGCTCTCTGTCGCTTGGCTTAGAATTCTTGCTGAGAGCACATGTTGCTACATGTTTTGATCTTGCTCATATCACCCAAGAGGATTTCTTGAATGCTCAAAAGACTTTTCCAAGATTGCACCACATGCTTGCAAAAGAATTCTCTCAGAAAACCATTTCACAACTATGTGTCCTTTAGATTTACAACAGCCTCCATTCCAAAAAGATTGCTGGCAAGAAGAAAGATGTAATTCTGTGTCCTTTCATTTCACCATGAATCCTACAGCCAAAGCTAAAGGACAGACAGAGGGAAAATGGTCACAACCTTTCACCAGCCCCAAACCTCCCTGTCAAACAGAGTGTTTATTGCTCAGCTGTAGCTTTCCACTGGCTTTATTTTTAACTCATTCCCATATACAAATATAGGCTAATCAGTGTAGTGCAAGGGCTCAGTGTGGCAGGAGCTAAAAATATTGGCTTGCCTTCAACAGCAAATACACTAGGAGGATTTTCCTGTCCAGATTAATGAATCAAGTTTCCAGTACCATTATCTTCCGTGCTGCTCCTTATATGGCTTTGAACAAAGCTGGACTAACCAATTCCCTCACTTTGGCAAATAAAGCCCCCTTTATTTCCTCACCTCACTTCCCTATGGCCATGCTCCCCACCCCCACAAAGGAGATTATGAGCAAAAGATTACTTGTGACATGTCCACAAGTCCACCGTGAACCAAGAGCAGCTTCTCCCAAATATCCTTCTACCTATTCTTTGAGAATGCAGTCTGGGGATTATCTATGCGGCACGCCAGCTTCTAAATCTGGAAGACTCAGGTGAGCCTTGGTACCCATTCTGGCTTTGCATTTCCAAGCAATGTGAGAGACCATATTGGCAGACCATATTATGCCACACTCCTGGCAGGTGAGCATCAATTTGCTCGAAGGCCTGGCATTGTCATTTCTGTAGAACCTGACTGGATCATCCAGGGGATTAAAATTAGTCATAGGGTTGCCATTGTTGTTCTAGTCAGTCAGACCAAACTTGCAACGCCTGAAGCTCACACTTTCGGTTGTGAAAGAAAGAAACCTTCTGAGGCCATCAGCATAAGCCCACAGTGATTTGCCCTGCATATGTATGTGACCAAAAGCAGAGCTCCGTGAATATGCTTAAGAATATGAGCTTGTGTGTGAAGAGCACATACTGACCACCTTCCCAGTACAGACACACAGCTGAGCCCCGAGATCCTCAGAGGAGGCTTTATTGGCTACTGCACAGCCAATGGGTGGGTGCCAGGTAACGGCACATTAAGTGGGTCTTCTCAGTAATCCCACCCTCTAGAACATTCCTGAAAGGCAGCCACTGTGGCGGGCTGCAAATGCCTCTTGTATTTGTTTGCTGACTTCCCTGGCCTGCAAGGGCCTGTGACACAGCCCAGCTTTAGTGTTGTCTCTGCACTGACTTTTTGTTTATTATTTTATACCTGCTTTGAATACTGCCTTTTATATATTTAAACACACACACACCCCACTTAGAGGTTTAATTAGATTAAAGGCAGAATCCTTGGCATGTTTCAACAGCATAACTGGCTGCAGCATACTGGGTGTTGTAGGCCTTTTCTCTATTGAAATGACCATAGGATTGCACCTTTAGTGGTAGAGAAAATAGAAAATAAATAGAAAATGTGGGGGCAAATGTGGATCTCAGTGTGTGGGGGGGGGGAGAGAAGAGTTATTTTCTAAAAGGCAACCCACTATTGGACAGTATATAAATAAATTAAATAAATAATGCAAAGGAAAAGCCAAACGTAAGTCATTTTTAAAATATTCCTCTCCTGTCGCTGCTACAAGAATGCTGCCACATTGTCGGTCTGGTCCAAGGAGAAGGATATGTATTTATTGTCCTTGTCTAATCTACACTGCTTATTCTGCATATTTACCCCCTTCCCACCCCACGCATCTTTGTTTTGCTCCACTTCAGGAAATACAATCCCATGCTTGTGGCCTGTGGCTGATTTGGCAAGAGACATTTTGCACAATGCCCCTCACATGCTCCAACAGCACCAGTCCATTAACATTCCACAGGAAGTCTGAATGAGTAAAAGCGCATTTCTTCAAGAGTGGCTTCCTGACTGAGGCAAGGCTGGGGATGTGGACAGTTAATTCTGAAGAAAGGATACTTGTTGCCCTGCCAAACGGCACGCTTTCCTGGTTTACACACAAATGGCCGCCATTTCTTCCTGTCAACTGACAACACTTATGGAATGATCATGTGTGTCAAATGGGAGGAAGTTCAAGCAAAGGTTAGAGCCCATAATGATTTTGGACTAGTAAAGGGACACCACATATATCTGAGTTATGTATCTACAAACACAGCAAGCCAAATTCCAGCTCAATAGAAAGACTGCCCAGGTTCCATGTTTTTCTCCCTGGCACTGCAACACTTTTGGAAGCAATCATACAACATGCCTCTGCTCAGGCATAAGTCCCACTGGACTTACTTCCAGGTAAGTGTGCAACCAATTGCAGCTCAATTCCATTTAAGCAGTAGATTAATCAACTCAGGTTTTAACTGATTAACTGGCCAGGAAACTGTTATCATCAATGGGGATGAACCTTGGGAACACTGAAACTTAATTCCCAGATAAGTTTTATTTAATTTGCTTGTCTTTACTATAAATTTGAATTATTGTTGATTTAATCTCTTGTAAACTGCTTGAAGTCTATGGGAACACAGTGGTGTATAAAAATAAAAATCAAATCAACTTTGTTTACTTGTGCAGGCTGTTTAGATGCTGGCATGTTAGTACAATAGGAAATAAGAAAATATTAAAGGTGGTCTACTGTTCTAAAAATGAGATTACATTTTATCCTACATTCTCTTTAAGTATAAATGTATACATAATAATAATCTGCACACAATAATTAATAGGACAGCAGATGGTGATTATTAATTCATAAATCTACCCTGGAATTTCATTTGGGAAAGAAAGGACAAATTGGATCAAACGTGAACTAAATCAATCCAGATGTTAATGCCAGGAGGTTTAATTGAAATGGGTGGTGGCAATTCCATTGTGCTGAGTGATGTGGGATTTCATGTGAAGGATTGTGTGAGCGGCTGGGGTTGGTGCCCAGGTCTGGCAGTGCTCCTGGGAACCCAGCGCTGTGGCCAGGAACGCCTTGGTACATCGGTTCAGGTTGCTACATCAGATGTATCTGCTCCTAAAAACTATAGTGATTGGGCCACAGTGGTATAAGCTTTATTAACTTCCAGGCCAAATGACTGAAGCATCCTGTATGTGGGGCTACCACTGAAATGCCAGTTAGTTCAAAATGCCACAGCCTGCTTAGTAGTGGAAGAAAACCACTGAGAACATGTGATGTCAGTGCTGAAAGAAAAGCTTTCATTTCAATAGCATTCATTCATTCATTCATTCATTCATTCATAGCTTATGTTAGTGTAAGCTAACAGAAGTCTAGAGCCTCCAAAATGGAGGCTGCCAGATTACATTAGTGGAAAGAAGATGGATCAGAACCTTCTTGTATATCTGGGTGATCTGCAGGATTGCCATGCATCTGCTGTTAGATACATGTTAGTCTTACTTAGAGTAAGCTCACTGAAATGAATGGGTCTCGAGTTAGGCTAACATTGGACAGAACACATCAGATAAAATCCCAAAGCTTTCCAGCTTCCAGTTGTTCCAGTTCCAACAAGAATGTTTAGGAGAGGACAAGACTGTTAGAATCCCTGCTCTGCAGCAACTCAGATGCAGAATTTGTATTCGGATACATCTCAGAGACCTTAAATAGTAATTGGTTCCATTCTCTTAGCCACTATTCTGCATCTGGAATCTCAGGTTCTAATAAAAAGTAAAGCTGATAGACAACTATCTCCCAGATCCTGAATACTAAGACCTTCAAGAAAGGTCTTGTTTTGAATCCCTTCCTTTCCTGGAAGCTAGATGGATGGATGAGCCTAAGAAAATGGGTCGTCTCAATCCTGACTTCCTCCTAATAGACTGCAATCTGCAGGGGTGTCCAAGAGGGTGGTTTGCTCTTTGCCTTTAAGAAAAAGTAAACAAAAAAATTAATATGGCAAAGTTGGGGTGCGGGAGGGCAATATTTAATTACAATTGTTTGTCACTAAATTACACTGCTCTGAATCTGTTCTTAACATCCTGGTGTTTTTAGACTGCCATTCTGAACATTTGCAATGGTGTTTTATTGCGTGATTTCCGTTTGGCCATTTCATTATTATCATTAGCCATTTGCTGAACAATATTGAGCCATATGGTGAGATATAATGTGTCCAAATAAGTAATAGACTGCCCCCAGTTTGATCTAATACTGCAACCAAGTCTCGAAGCAAGCTTTGGTGAACTCTGGAACTTATTTCTGAGATACGCACAGCTTTAAGATCTACTTCACAATGTACCCAGCAGCCTAGGAGCATCAGATGTTCACAGGACAACAAGAACATGCCTTCAAACATGCAGAGAAAACATGCTGGAGAACTATGGCCAGCCGCCGTTCCATGGGACGTATCTATTTTGTGTTGCTGCATTGTTTGGGAATGCACATTCAGCTTTAGAATTAAATGCTACATTCCAGTGCAGAATGAGGCACACTTTCAGCACAATCCTGTGCGTGTCTGAACAGAGAAAAAGTTATATAGTTCCCACCACTTTCTCTGCGTTGGCGCCCAATCTATGGAATGCGCTCCCCAGAGAGGTCTGCCTGGCGCCTTCGTTATTTGTTTTTCGGTGCCAGGCGAAGACCTTTTTATTCAAATGTCATTTTAATTATTAATATTATTTATTCATTTTATTCTTTGGCCAGGGCGACTTAATTTATACTGTTAATTTATATTATTTTATGGAAGTTTATTTATGGATGTGAGCCGCCCCAAAGCTTCAGCGAATGGGGTGGCATAGAAGTCTCCTAAATAAAT